CTTTGATGCGCCTTAAATTTTCACGCCTTTCTTCTGATTGAGCAGCATCTGAGAAGTGGTCAACAACTGCACCTATAAATTCTGTTCCATCCAGTCCTGAACTGGATAGGTGCTGTGCTGAGTTTTCCGGATTTCTTTGCTGTGCTTCAAGGATCAGATTAGTCATGTTCAGATGAGAAGGGATATAAGATGCTTCTCCTTCTTTGACTGCAATGGGGAGCTGCGGTATTGGAGATGGACTGTGTTGTTGGAGAATCACTTCCATCTTGCGGTTCCCAGAATGTGCACCAATAAGTCTGAACAGCTTGTATGCTTCCTTTTGATTGTCAATGATCACCTTCAAGTAGTCTTTGATTACTACCTGATTTGCTGAAGCTACTGCTAGGGCTGATTAGATGTCCATTTGGAGAAGGGACATCTGTTTTTGTAGACTAACTGTGACACTCGCTATTTGCTCTTTGACTTTGTTGAATTCTTTGAATTGAAGTTGACTATCAGAGGCATATATTTCCATAATGTTGCTCACAGTGTTACTCAATAGAGAGATGATCTCTAGAGTCTTGTCTACTGATTTACCTATCTCCTTTAGATCTGCGCTGTGTTTCTCTTCTGATTTCTCTAGCAGTTGAGTGTACTTGGCTTCCATTTGCTCTATCTCTTGTCTAAATGAGGCCTGTTGAGATGCTAGGGCTGACTCAATCAGCTCTTGGACCTTCTTTGTCCAGATTTCCGGTATCTCATCCGGAAGGGTAGGGTTGAAGAGCTATGGAAGTGAAAATTGGTTACCTGATGAGGAGATGATGTCCTTTAGAAGAGTTGCAAAGGAAGAGATTCAGCATCTTCTTGTACATCTTCTTCATCAGTGACCTTTAGTGTCCTCTCAGATTCTCCTTCTGCTGCATCAAGTGCAAAATTTGATATGTATCTGGAGAGGGAGTCACTATCTTCAGCTTCATTTGGTTCTTCGAAGATGGCTATTGGAGTTTGAGAGACCTCCACTTCTGCCATCTGAGATTCCTTCTCAAATTTTCCAGAGTGCCTTTGGATTTCTACTTCTTTCTCCATGGGTTCTGGAATAGCTGACTGTTCCGGAATTTCTGCTGACTTTTCCAGAATCTCAAGTTGTGTCTGGTTGGAGATCTCACAAGGGGTTGTGAGGATCTCGAGCACTTGAGATTGGATCAGTTGCAGAAATTCTTCTTCTTCATTTGCTTCCTGGTTCTGCTCTTGTGGGGGAGAGGCTGCCTTCTCTTGAATAGTTTCAGTCAGAACCATTTCAAACGCAGGTGAGGTTTCCGGAAAGATAGGGAAATCCTCAGCTGTTGCTTCCAAAACAGCTATTTCTTTAGAGGTGAGAGCCATTTGTTCTTCTGTGGCTCTAGTGAAGACTGGCTTGAAGACAGCAGTGTCTTCATCATCTGCTTCACAGTCTGAAACTGGTGTGTTGGCCAGGTATTCCATATGTAGGTCTTCAGGATTCCTTTGCCATACCCAGTAGTCATCCAAAATGTCTTCACAGTTGTGGTTGACTGGAATACTTAAGCACTTTTTGATAATCTTCTCATTCTTCAGCTGTTGGTCCTAATCCAACAGTTGCTCTTCTGAATTTCCAACTTTTCAAGCTCTCCAATTATAGTAGAGCTGCCAGAATTTGTTGTCAGCATCATCTGTATGAGGCTGAGATGAGGGGGTTGGAAGGCTTGGGACTTGAGGAGTTTCTTCTTCAAATTGTTGAGGGCTCCGGTTATGGGTAGAGGTTTCCTCAGCAGGCTCCTTCTCCTTCAACTCATCCGGATTGACATTTCCAGATGTTGATGGAGAGTTGATTTTCCTCTTCTTCTTCCTTTGAAGTTCTCCAATTTTCATATTACTGAATTTGATTAAGTCTTCAGGCATCAAAACGCTTAAAGAAATATCACAGCTTTATTGGAAATCTCAAGAGCTCGGTTTTGACAATATTTCTAAAAAGAAAAAATTACATTGAATATTGGGGGAGACCTAAAGTCCCTATTACATTCTAAATATATCATCATCAAAATCTATAATATTTTTCCCAACAGTATGAAAAAGTAAGGGGTAAAAGTGGTTTTTTAATAGAAATGGGACGGACTTTAAGGGATGCAAACTTTTCGAAACGGGACTGACTTTTTGGGACGGAAGGAGTACAACTAGTTATTTTCCATATTTGATCCATATTTATCAAATATCGTATTCGCAGTCCTTATTGATTAGGTATCATTCCATGCTTAGGCCCCGTTCCGTTCAACTTATTTTTTCTGCTTTTTTCCTAATCTTATTAAAATCAGATCAGATCAGATCTAATCAGATCAGATCAGATCAGAACCAATCAGATCAGATCAGATCAGATCAGATCAGATCTAATCAGATCTGATCAAATCCAATCAGATCAGATCAGATCTAATCAGATCAGATCAGATCCAATCAGATCAGATCAGACCAGATCAGATCCAAATAAGAATTATTATTATTATTGTTATTATTATTATTATTATTATTACTACTACTACTACTATCATTATCAATATCTTTATTACTCCTTACTTTTTAAATTCCATATTTTTTAGTTGTTTCTTTTGATACGGTTCTTTTAAAAAATAAATTTAATTCTATTTAAAAAATATAAGAAGAAAGAACATGAAATTTTTTGTGTGATTATAATTTATGTAGACTAAAATAAATGATATGAAGCACATTTGTTTTCTTAAAAATGAAAAATAATAAACTTTAGAAACAAGCTAAATAGAAACCCGAGAAAGTAATCTTTAATTATTAATGAAAAATGTATTATTTCTTTTCTTAACATTGATAATATAAGGATGTGATCTTTTAATAAAAATATTAATGATTAATAACATTGATTATCTATATTAAATAACATTTTAGTGCATATATAAATTAAATAATTATTCTAATGTTTATATAAACTAATTATTAAAATATTAAATCAATATTATTCATTAAAAAAATCATAAAATAAAAAATATTATTACATTATAATATGAATGATTATTCTAATATATGAGTTAATTAATTTTGTTTCATTAAAAAATAATCATAAAAAAATATTGATTATATTATAATATGAATTATCATTACAATTTTCAATCAAATCAGAACCAATCAGATCAGATCAGATCAGATCCAATCAGATCAGATNATAAAAATATTAATGATTAATAACATTGATTATCTATATTAAATAACATTTTAGTGCATATATAAATTAAATAATTATTCTAATGTTTATATAAACTAATTATTAAAATATTAAATCAATATTATTCATTAAAAAAATCATAAAATAAAAAATATTATTACATTATAATATGAATGATTATTCTAATATATGAGTTAATTAATTTTGTTTCATTAAAAAATAATCATAAAAAAATATTGATTATATTATAATATGAATTATCATTACAATTTTCAATCAAATCAGAACCAATCAGATCAGATCAGATCAGATCCAATCAGATCAGATCAGATCTAATCAGATCAGATCAGATCTAATCAGATCAGATCAGATCAGATCTGATCTGATCTGATCAGAACTTATTAAAATCAGATCAGATCAGAAAAAATAAGTTGAACGGAACGGAGCCTTAGTCCTTGTCGAACGCCACGAAGATGGAAAAATAGATGGAAGACTAAACGTGGAATGGTACCCAATTAATAAGGACTGTCAACATAATATTTGATAAATTTAGACTAAATATCGAAAACTTCTTTTTAATTTTATTTTAAAAAATATATAGAGTGATATTTTATTGAATTAAAATAAAATAAAATAAATTTAATATACTCCCTAGCTTAAATTAGCTATGGAGTAGAATTAATGTAGTATTTGGATGAGGAGAAATTGGGGAGAAAGAAAACAAAGGAAGAGAAAACACAACATTCAAAGAGTTTTCTCTTCTTTGTTTGAAAGAGAAAATGGAAGAAGAAAAAAAAGTACTCCCTCCGTCCCAAAAAGTCTCTTACGTTTCGAAAAATTTGCGTCCCTTAAAGTCCTTTCCATTTCTATTAAAAAAACCACTTTTACCTCTTACTTTTCCATATCCTACCTTTCACATCATACTTTTTTTCTAATAATCTACCCATCACATCCTACTTTTACCCATCACATCAAGGGTATTTTTGGAAAGTCAACACAAAATTATCTCTCCTTATTTTACCACTTTAGTCAAAATGTTCCAATCTTTTTGGGACGGAGGGGGTAATAGATTTCACCCCAAAATATTTTCTCCTCTAAAGTGGTGAGAAAACCACAATGGAAGAGAAAACTTGACAAATGACAAATTTGCCCTCAACTCCTTTTCGTTTTTAACCATTTAAATAAGGATACAAATGTATTTTTACTTTATCACATTTTCTTTTCTCCTACTTTTCCTCTTATTTTCTATACATCCAAACAATAACTATTTTATTTCTTTTATTTTTCTTTTCATTTTCTCTTAGCTTCTATATTGATTTTCTTTCCTTTTACTTTCTTTCCTTCAATTTTCTCTCATCATCTAAACATACCATAAGGGCCATTTGGGGTAGAAAAAAAGATACTTCCTCCGTTCCTAAATATTTGTCACACTTGTTTTTTCAGCAGTCCGGGAACTTTTATTTATTTCTATGTTATCATTGATTATTTGATAAAATAAAATATTTTTGATACCTCTTATTTCGAAGAACTTTTCATGTAATTTTTTCATATGTAAATTTTATTTTTTATTTCTAGACCAATATGCAAATAAAATGAATTGAAAAAACTTACTCCCTCCGTCCCGAAATATTTGCAACGTTTGCTTTTTCGGCATTGCGGGAACTTTTGTTTATTTCTACGCTTTCATTGGTTATTTGATAATATAAAATATTCTTGACACCTCTTATTTCGAAGAACTTTTCATGTAGTTTTTTGATATGTAAATTTTAGTTTTTATTTCTATACCAACATATAAATAAAATGAATTAAAAAAACTTGATATTTTATCTCGGGAATACAAGTGTGGCAAATATTTAGGGACGGAGAGAGTAATATTTTGTCTCGAGAATACAAATGTGACAAATATTTAGGGACGAAGAAAAGTAGTTTTATCCGTGCATCACTGACTGATGTGATGGGATTCTGTGATGGTACTCAACTGCGGCCCTCTAATTATCATTTTCATAAGCATAGGCTAGGGTGGACTAGTAGAGTACTAGTGATAGAGAGAGAATGGGGCTAGGGTGATGTATGTTTGGAGCTATGTATGCGTGCGTGGGGAAATATGCATGTGCAGGTATTCCTCTTGTCAGTGAATTGAAGTTAAATGGTGGCAAAAGTTAAAAATTACTTCCTCCGTTCTCGAGTGTTTGTCCACTTTCATTTTTGCACACTATCTAATGCACTTCTTTAATCCATTTTATTTTGTAATTTATATATTAAAAAATTATAAAAATTATATATTAATAATCTATATGTTAAAGACGAATCAAACAAGATCACACATGACTATTTTTAGGCTTACACATTGAGAGAATTTGATGAGTCAAAGTGCTTAGATGAACAGTTCCAAAAGTCAAAAGTGGACAAAGACTCAGGGACGGACCAAGTATGTTGAAAAATCCAATTGTGCTTCAATTGCTATGAATCCTATGATACGACACCGGATTAGATGGCTATACTCCCTCAGTTTCTAAAATATTACGTAGTATTTGAGTTTGATTTTTTAAATTAAATTGTAATATTTTTTGACAGTGAATTATATAAAAAATATATTTAGTGATAATGTAAATTTAGTAAATTAGGTTTATTTTAAAATATAGTTTTGAAACATCTAGTTCTTATAATCTTTAATTAATTTAAAGTATATTTAATTCGTTATTAAAGGAGGTCAAAGTTTGACAAAAGAAATCAAACTGTGACAATTTTGTAAAGACGGGGAGTATCTGTTATGCATTTGTTACTCACGTCATGCATCTCCATTTAATTAACAATAGTCATTATTTTTACTTTAAAATTTATATGTTTAATTAAAATATTTATTATTAATAGAAATAGATAAATAATAATAAATAATTATAAAATGAATTATAAAAATATATAAAATGAAAAAAGTTAAAAAATAAAATGGACCGGCGTCGCGTCAAAACCGTGCAATGGTAGTCGTCGCTGACCAGCTGCTCCTAATTTAAACGTACGACCCGCGCTTGCGGCTAGGGGTGAGCATGGTACGGTATGGTACGGTATTTAGCTCGTACCGATACTGTACCAAGTATTTCGGTTCGGTATGGGATTTTACCCTGTACCGATCCCGATCCCGAAATATCGGTTCGGTATGGTTCGGGATGGTTTGGTATCGGTTTCGGTACAAATCGAGATGAATATACATACCTACTTTACACGTTAAAATTTAACAATGCCCCTTTATTTTTGAAAATTAAAAAGTGAATTTAAATAAAAAACATGAAAATTAAAAAAAATGAATATTTAAATGCAAGAGATGTGTATCAAAACTTAGTTTATATTTCACAAACTAAAAAAATGAACGACAATAAAGGAGTATTTCAAATTTTTGTGAATACTTTTATGTTCATACACAAAAACTTGAACCAATTTTTTTTTTTTAAATTACCCGGAGTATTTTTTAGTGAAGGAATATAAAAACATTACTCCGGGATATTATTTTTTATAATATTTTAGTATATATGTTCGGTTCGGGATTTTCGGTATGGGACGTCCCCTCATATCGTTCCCAAATACCGTACCGACCATTCGGTTCGGTATGGTTCGGTTTCTTCTCGGTATTTTTTTGGTTAGGTATTTTTCGGTTCGGCATTCTCAGTTTTTTCGGGAAATTTCGGTATCGGTTCGGTACTTACTCACCCCTACTTGCGGCATCAGACGTTGGCCCTGGCCTCCCTGCAATGGCGCGTGTAGCTTGCCGACTGAGCGGCATAGGCTCCCATTTGCAATTGCCCTAAGCCTTTAAGGCTATATCCAACCATTTACAATGTCAAACTCAAACATAAAATGAGGTAAAAGTCAAATTAAACAGTAATTCATCGCAGTCCACTGTACTTATAAACTTGAGCTCAAAATAATCTACTTATCATATACGGAGTATTCATTGTCTCACTATTTTTTATACTTTTTAAATATTACAAAATTTTTTATCGAATTACATTCTTTTCAAGT